GGGGAACCTTGAACTGGGCGGCCAGGGGGTTGCTGGTCCTCTCCAGGGGGGTGGTGTCCAGGCGTTTCTGGTAGCCCTCGAGCCGGTGCCGGTTCTCCGCCCGTTTCACGGCCTCGTTGACGTTCCTCAGGATGTCCCGGCACTGATCCCGAGCCCGGCACAGCTTCTCCAGCTCCGGGGATCCTGCTGGGGGGGGAAAACGGGGATGAGGCTGGGGGCAGTGGGGTGGGGGGAGAGCAGGGCTCAGGGAAGGGAAGGTTTGGGAAGGGAAGGGAAGGTTTGGGAAGGGAAGGTTTGGGAAGGTTTGGGAAGGGAAGGTTTGGGAAGGGAAGGGAAGGTTTGGGAAGGGAAGGGGAGGGAAGGGAAGGGAAGGGAAGGGGGCAGTGGGGATGGGAGGATCCCGGTGACATCCCGGGCACCGAAGCCCTGCTGGAAGGATCTCAGAATCCCAGGATTATTGAGGTTGGAAAAGGCCTCCAGGGTCACCAATTCCACCCCGTGCCACATCCTCACCTTGTCCCTCAGTGCCACATCCAGTCCTTCCCTGGACACCTCCAGGGCTGGGCACTCCAAACCTCCCTGGGCAGCCCCTTCCAAGGCCTCAACACCCTTTCCATGGGGAAATTCCTCCTGATGGCCAACCTGACCCTCCCCTGGCACAGCCTGAGGCCGTTTTTCCCCTTGTCCTGTTGTTCCCTGGGAGCAGAGCCCGACCCCCACATTGCCACGACCTCCAAGAAGGTCCCACCCTGAGCCTCCTTTTCTCCTCCAGGATAAAGAGGGAAATTCTCCCACCTCCAGGACACCCCTGACTTCGTTCTTCCCCCTGGAAAAGCAGCTGGAAAAGCAGCACATCCTCCTCCCTCACCAGCCTGGAATTCCCCTCTGAACATCCCGCCAGGGGTGGGAAATTCCTGCCGGGGACGCGACGGCGACGGGAGGACGCGGGATGAGGAACCCCGGGATGAGGAACCCCAGGATGAGGAGCCTTGAGATGAGATCCCCCTGGGAAAAACCCTGGATTAGGGGCTCGGGATGAGCCCCATCCCTACCCTCGGTGAACTTGATGATGTTCTCCAGCAGCAGAGGGTACTTGGTGAGCCGCTGCATCTCCGAGATGATCAGATCCTTGAGCTGCAGCCGCCGGCACTGCGGGTTGCTCTCGGCCTCCTGGGATTGGGATGGGAAGGGAGAGGCTGGGACACCCCAAAATGGGATGCAGGGGTGGGAATTCCCTCGGGAAGAGGGGGGCCAGACCTGCATGAAGATCTGGAAGCGGGTCTCCTTGCGCTGCTTGGTCTTGATGAGCTCCAGGGCGATGGATTGGTAGGAGCAGAAGGTGGCGGCGACCTGCTGGATCTCCTCCTTGGCAGCGCCATCAAACTGGGAATTTTGGGAAAAACCAGGATCAAGGACACCCCAAAACTCGGCCCCGGGGGTCCCCGAGCTCCTCCACCCCCTTTAAAGAGAGGCACAACCTTTGTTCCCTTTCCCTTACCCGGGACAACATGAGGTCCCCGATTTCTTTGATGATCGGTCCTTCCTCCCGCAGCTTCTTCATGGATTCCGAGAGGGAATCTGGGGCAGATTCAGGATCAGGTGACGCCGGAGTGGGGGCACCAGGGACACGGGGACACCCACCCAGGGGCTGGGCCAGAGGGCCCCAAAATCCCAGGAGAGGGGAAGGGAAGGTTTGGGAAGGTTTGGGAAGGTTTGGGAAGGTTTGGGAAGGTTTGGGAAGGGAAGGGAAGGGAAAGGGAAAGGGAAAGGGAAAGGGAAAGGGAAAGGGAAAGGGAAAGGGAAAGGGAAAAGGAAAGGGAAAGGGAAAGGGAAAGGGAAAGGGAAAGGGAAAGAGGAGGGAAAGGGGAGGGAAAGGAGAAGCTGGATTGGGGAGCTGGTCCATGAGGGGTGACCCCACCACCTCAGCCCACCCTGTGCTCCCGGGGGGGGGATAATTCCAGAGAGGGGGAATTCCAGGGGGTGGGATCTCTCACTGTGGATCTCGATGAGGTCGGGCAGGTTGGGGAAGAGCAGCCCCAGCTCCTCCCGGGACAGCAGGTTCTCCTTCCTCATCCTCTGGTAGAACAGCAGGTCCAGGACCCTCAGGATGCGCAGGTGGGACCCCTCGGTGGCAAAGAGCTCTGGGGGAGGGAGGGACGGGGGTGGGAGAGGGCCCAGGGACCCCCCTCTGGGCTGGGGGGCACTGCTGGGGGGTCCCAAACAGGAATTTGCTCCCTTGGAGCACCAACAGGAGCACCTGGGTCTCCATCCTCCCTTCCAGGACCCTCCTCTCCTGCTTCCAGGTCCCTCGGGAAGCAGCTGGAGTTGTGCCAGGAGCGGGGATTCCTCACACAACTCCTTGTGCTTCCCAGAGCTAAAAAAAAGCTTTTCCAGTGGCAAAACCCACCGAAACCTGCTTCCAAAAACACTCCCAAACCCATCCCAGGACACGAGGGGAACGCTGGAATTCCAGCTGTTCCCTGCAAGGACCAGGAATCCTGTGCCATGACAAGAGCTCCAGGGATTCCTCACACAACTCCTTGTGCTTCCCGGAGCAAAAAAAAAGCTTTTCCAGTGGCAAAACCCACCCGAAACCACTTCTTAAACACTCCCAAACCCATCACAGGACACAAAGGGAATCCTGGAGTTCCGGATCCATACCATTGATCACCTCCTGTCTCTCCACCTCCCGGGGGGGCAGGTTGGCCACCAGCTCCCGGCTCACGGTGTGCTGCCAGTTCTGGGGGTCCAGCTCCGGCTCCAGGTCCCAGAGCTGGCCCTGCTCGTCCTCCAGCAGGTGGGGCAGGAAGGAATCCACCCCGAAGCCCAGGCTGGGGGACTCGATGCTCCTGGGAAAAAGGGGGGAATTCTTTCGGTGTCTCCCATCGGAGCGATCCCGGCACAGCCCTGGGTTGGGATTCCTGGGCTGGAATTTGGAGCCTTCAAGGAGCACACGAGGCTC